TACCGAGGCCCCGGCAGGGCCAGTCGCGTATCGCACCGCCGTGTCAGACGTCAGACGCAAGGCGCTACAGAGGTTTCGGACGCTACTGCCTCCGGGCGAGGAGGAGACACGGCGGTGCGATACGCGTGTCGACTGGCCCTGCCGGGGCCTCGGCAGCGTTACTTGCTTTGCCTTTCTCGCTGCTTGCCACGCGTGCCGGTCGTCATCCTCTCTTGCACTGTCCACACCTTCGTCTCTCCATTTCCTCTGGTCGTAGCATGGTCGGTCAACGTCAGTTCCCATCGTCCTTTTCTGCTCTTACCCATCCTCTGCTCCATATCAAGCCACTCTGCTTCCGACGAGATGGTTGTCTAAACTTTAGGTGCATGTAGAGTTCGATCTCACACAACAGAGATGAAAACTTATCTGTAACGTACATGTCTTTTGCATTTATTAACATCAATTACCAACTCCACCTCGCAATTTTAGAACGAATGAAATGCAACTTGCGGTTGGATGAGAAGAACACAATGGAGAGCTGTCCGAAACAGTAGAACTGTCCTCAATCGAGAAATCGAGCAGCTAGTTTTGCTCGTAGATCCTTCCTCAAGATCTTGCCGGAGGGCGCCTTGGGAATCGCCTCTGTAAAGAAGACCTTGTTGATCCTCTTGTAGAAGACCACCTGAGAGAAACAGAGAGCGGAGAGTCAAGATTTGGTACTTGCAATTGATGTGTTCTCTACCCGTTTGGAGATGCAATTCTTCATGCTGCAGAAGATACGGTTGACTGGTGGAAGCTTCACCTGCTTTGAGACGTGCTGCTTGATCTCATCCTCGCTGATCTCGGACCCGTTCGACCGCACCACAAAAGCAACAGGAACTTCCCCAGCTGCTTCATCCTTCATCCTGCGCGAATCGACCACCAACTTCGGATCATGATCACATAGTTTTCGCGTATTGGCAGCTGCAGGACTTGGGTTGCAGGACTTACGGGACGACAGCAGCGTCCGCAATGCTGGGGTGGGCGATCAGGAGTGCTTCGAGCTCGGCTGGCGCAACCTGGCAGCCCTTGGACTTGATGAGCTCCTTGAGCCTGTCGACGATGAAGACCTCGTCGTCGTCGTCCACGTATCCGATGTCTCCTGTGTGCAGCCAGCCTTCCTGGTCTATGGTGTTGTTCGTCGCCTCTGGATCATTAATATAACCTGTGCAATCACATCAAATCTCCCACATTAATGGTGATGGACACTCCAAAAGGAAGAACCGTCCGCAAACAGGGAAGGACAAGAGAGTGTCACTCGATTATACTATTTTGCATGGGAAGGCCGAGCAGAAGAAGTCAAAGCTGGGAAGTTCATGCATCATGCACAGACTGAGGGAACCTACCATGGGAATCTCCTGATACCTACATCATCAATCATTTGACCTTTACATGTGGAAAGCACATGACAAAGGCTTATGTTACAGTGTTTTCTTCTTCATGTTCTTGTGGCAAGGACTAGGTAGATGCCAAAGGGGACCAGATTGTAAGAATCCAAGTTGGGACATAGGTGGCTGCTCAGACCGCGGCATTTCTTTAACAAAGAAGGATGGAGCAGTACGCATTATTAGATCAAGCACCTCTCGATTCGATGTTGTCGTTCAATTCACTATCACTACATATGAGATGCATTTTGATATATGTGATTTTGACTATCACTCTCTTAAGTTTTTATGATTTACTTATGTCTAAAATGATCCTTATATTTTTTAAAACATAACATATAAGTTCTTCTGTCAACTATGGGTTAACAAACATTAAAATTTAATTATGTGATATGTTGACTCATATTTTAGCTCATGTGATTTTGGTCATAGATCTCTTAAACCTTTATAGTTTACTCATATCTAAAATAACTCATATATTTTTAAAAATATAGTATATAAGCCCCTCCCGTCATGTTTGAGTTAACAGACATTAGAGTCTGCTTACATGACGTACTAACTCACAATAAATCATTAATATAATGATACACATAATTTAAGTTAAAAAAACTCGATAATAGGTAGATTTAAAAACATAGATCGGTTGTCTAATTAATTTCCTTCAAAATGAGCTTTTCCATTATCTAGTGAGCAATGCATTGGTCTTGTCTCAACATTCTTCATAGAGAGAGGAGCATCTTAGTACCAACAACGATTGAGAATGTCATAATGGAGAGCAAAGAGGAAACCACTAGCCGCAGTATGCGCTTTAGCATCCAAAGCTTCTCTACTATCATGTCTTGGCTCATGTCTAACATCGTCACCAGATAATTGGGGTGCAGAGAGGGGTGAAGGATCCTATCAGTGGCGCTTTTACTTTGAGAGCCACCATATAGCTTCGGTGCTAGAGAACAAGGTTGCTTATGGCATCACGCTAACAAGGATGCCACTAGACCTCGGTGTTGGCCAACGAAGGACTGCTCTATCAATGCGGCTAGCAAATCAAGCACGAGGGGCCTTAAGGAGCCCATAGAACTTGTTCTCTCATTCCACTTCTATCGTCATCTTGTCATCATCGTAAGCTTTCTTATCCTTATCCTCGTTAGTTGCTTTTGATATTGGATTGAACTGCATGCCCTCTCCTTGGTTTGGCTTCAACACAAGCAGTAGCAGCTCATCGTCGTCATATACCTTAACAACAGTGACAATAGTGGCGGCGACAGCTACTCTGTTCTCCCCCAACTGTTGTTCCCTGTCTTTGCTAGTGTTCTAGGTGTCGTCATTGGTAGTTCTCCTAGTCAAGTTCTAGTTCTCTGTCTCTCCCGCCACCCCTTACTCAATAGTAAGTGCATCGTCTTCTAGGCAGTGAAGCGTGGAGAGGAAGGACATGTGGCACTAGGAAGCATTATATACGAGGAAAGCTAGTGTGGCTCTTGACATGGACAACAATACAGGGAAAGTGGAAGGCGTGGGAGTACTCCACCATGAAGATTAGTGTCTCATGGCTCGCCTTCATTGGGTTAATTAGGCTATTGATCCATGTTTTCAAATCCACATATTATTAATATTTTTATACTTAAATTACACGTGTCATTATATTAATGGTATATTATGAGTCAGCATGTAATTAAACTATGATATTTATTAATTCAGACTTAATGAGAGAGGTTTATATGTTATATTTTTAAAAATATAATGGTTATTTTAGACATGAGAAATCATAAAGGCTTAAGATATAACCAAAATCATAATGACTAAAATAGATCTTAACCTTCTTTTTTAATTTAAATTATATATATCATTATATTAATAATTTATTGTGAGTCAGCATGTTAAATAAGTAGACTAAAACATCTATTAACTTAGACTTAATGAAAAAAACTTATATGTTATATTTTTAAAAATTGATGAATTATTTTATATATAAATAAATTATAAGAATTTAAAAGATAAATGATCAAAATTATAAGTACTAAAATGTACCTTAACAAATATATCATCTACCTTTTGACTTTGTTTATCTTTTTTACTTTGGTTATGGGAACAAGTCTTGTGGTTCCTAGAAATTAAAATGTCACGGTCATGTTGACTTGTTCGTTCCATCGGCGCTCAGAGACATGAAAGAAAGTACAGCGTGGTTGTGTCTCACTCACCTTTCATGATTTGGGCTCCCCTGATGCAGATCTCGCCGTGCTGGTTGCGGCCGAGCGACGCGCCCGTGTCGGGGTCAATGACCTTCATCTCCGCGTTCCTCACCACGGTGCCGCACGCGCCTGACTTCACCTCGCACGGCTCCTTTGCGAACGCCAGGCACATCGATATCACCGGCCCCGCCTCCGTCATCCCGTACCCCTGCAGAGTTTGAAGCACATCGAACACCCTCAGTCCCGAAACTTTCATTAGAAGAAATCGAGCTTGTTATGAGAGGATTAATGGAGCATCGTGGAAAGCTTCGCCTTTCGTTTTCGATGCCAACAGGCTACCAAACTAGGGGGCATAAAGAAGAGGCGAGGATGCGAGCTCTCTCACCTGGCCCAGCCGGGCATTGGGAAGGTTGGCCATGAACTTGTCCTCGAGCTCCTTCCCCATGGGCGCCGCACCGGACATCACCATGCGGATCGACGACAGGTCGTAGCTGCCCACCAGCGGGCTCTTCACGAACTTCAGCACGATGGGCGGCACGAAGGGCGCGATCGTCACCTTGTATCGCTGCACCAGCTCCATCAGCGGCACCACCTCGAAACGCCGCATAATCAGGACAGACGCCCCGACGCGCAGCCCGCACAGGAGCACCGAGTTGAGAGAGTAGATGTGGAACAGCGGCAGCACGCACAGCAGCACGTCGTCCTTGTGGAAATAGAGGTTGGGGTTGGAACCGTCCACTTGCTGCGCTATGCTCGTGATCAGGTTCCGGTGCGTCAGCATCACGCCCTTGGGCAGCCCGGTCGTGCCTGACGAGTAGGGCAGCGCCACCACGTCGTCCTGATCGATCTCGACCGCCGGAACTGCGCCTGCGTCCGTGGCCAGGAGGTCGGCGAAGCGGTGGCAGCCCTCAACGGGGCCATCGTCGACGGTGACGATGGTGACGCCGCGCTCCGCGGCGAACTCCCGGATCTTCTCGACGTGACACGACTCGGTAATGATGAGGCGGGCGCCGCAGCCGGACGCCTGCTTGTGGATCTCGCCGGGGGTGTATGCGGGGTTGGCGGTGGTGGCGATCGCCCCTCGGTGAGAGGCGGCGAGGAAGGCCACCACGAACTCGGGGGAGTTGAGGAGGAGGATCATGAACACGTCGCCCCGGCCGATACCGACCCCGTGGAGCCCGGCGGCAAAGCGGCGTGCGGCGGCGTCGACCTCTGCGTAGGTGAGCACCTTCCCGGTGACGCCGTCAACGACGCAAGGCCGGTTGGCGAACTCGGCAAGGCGCTCAAAGCAATAGCTATGGAGGGGACTGTCGTTGGTGATCTCGATGTCCGGCAGCTTCGACCGGAAAATGGTCTCCTCGGGTGGCGCAATGGAACCCATTCTTCAGCTACGGTTCCGGCTGCGGCGGCGGCGAAGAAGATTAAAGAAGAGGAGACAATACAAAGAACAGATTAGAAAGAGAGAAGAGATTCAACTGTTTGCTCTCTTTGCTTGCTTTACTTGGGTTTTCTTCTCTCGGAAGAGGGAAGGGGAGAGGAGGTAGCAAGTAATATACTGGTGGCGCTGGAGGAGCCTTGGAGCTGGTCAGAACTTAGACGTGATTAGAGATAAATCTAGGGGTAATTTCGTCCGCCGGGGGTAGCAAACTGGTTGACATTCAAGTTCTCAGGCCGGTGCTATGCTGCCACGTGTACGCGAAGCCAAACCTCAAATAGCGGGGAGAATAGGGACGCGTACGACGCGTTGCGGGTCGGGTCGGACCGGGTCTCGATCCGGTAACGTGTTCGCAGAGTGTGGGTCCGCCCCGTTTCTCCTTCCAGGGGACCAAAGCGGTCATTACCGTTGGATGGTACCGGAGGCCGTGATCGGACGGCCTGCGGCCACCGTGCGTGACGTGGTCGCCGACGTTGAGATGTCACCCACCACGAAGAAGGCAATGAGGCACGTGCCCCGCGGGGCCCAATCATGTATGCATGCAATTGGTGAGCCAATGATGTCCCCGTCCTCCGGTGCCGTGTGATTCGACGCAAGTAGCGACCCAGTCCATCGGATCACCGTTAACGCTGCTCAAACGCGAATCTTAAAGAATCGGTGAGAATGGACGTGTAACTAACTTGGAACGGTTCCAACCATGTCGCGTTTGCCGATGGGAAAGGAGAGGAGGCCATTAAACCGAGACATTTTGTACACGGAGATGGAAACTGATAGGTTGCCTAAACGTCACCTAATTTGAATTCGTAGCCTAAACAACGCGTCTCGATTGGACGTGCGAGCCTCAATTTCCTACTGCAGACCGTGGGAAGGGCGTGTCGACGCCAGAAGTATTGGGTTGGAGGAAGCCTAGTATGATCGACTCCGCATGTCACCAAGAAGGCACTCCTCTTTCCAAAACATTGATTAGGGGTGGCCGATTCAGCTTCCCATGATGGAGTATGTGGTGGTGCAATTGACTAATTAGTAAGAAAGATCAATAATAATGAATTAAGAACAATATGTATTTTCCGATAAGTCAACCTCGAACACCTTCTAGAGATTACGAAATTGTGCTCTTTTAGCTATATAAATGGATTGTTTGATTCGAATCGAAATCAAATTGGATGAAAACTAAAATCGAATTGGCTCGATGGTTTGCTAATTCTAAACTAAATTGGAATCGATCAAGCGTGATTCGATGTTGATTCCAAGTTTTATGCAATTGGAATAGCCATTTCGATGATTAAAAGAAAAATTCCACCAGCTTATCTAATGACATTTGATCGATTTGGGCTCAAACAATCGAGTCCAACGATCGATGAAGGGGCAAATGACCAGTTTGCCCTCTCAACAATCATATAAATAATTATATTTAGAGACATTTTGATTTTTATAATTAACCGAAGTCATTTTGTTAAGGTATATTTTAGTACTTATATTTAGAGACATTTTGATTTTTATAAGGACGTATTCTTATAATTAAATTATTTATATTAAAATTTTTATAATTTTAAAAATAAAATAAATAATCTCATTTGTTCTAACATAACGTCTTGTATTACTGAAAACATAATATGTGATAAATATAAGAGTGATGAAAAAAATATAATTTTAATATCTAATATATGTTATTATGTATTGTATTTTTCGTCAATGCAACTGATAACGAGAATATTTATTTCACTTCTAGAATTATAAAAAATTTAAATATAAATTTTTAAATAAAGATATCATGATACAAATAATATTATAATAATATTAAAATATAAGGATAATATGTAATTAGCTCGAAATTAATGCATTTGCCCTTATAAATTTCGACAAATCATTTATGTATCTTAAAGAACTAATATCACTGCTAAATTATCACGATTGAACCGTACCTGCGACCTCGCATGGATCAGAAAGGTCGTCGGCCACTTGAGACCCGAGCCGTTCCGGCTCTTTAGTTGGCTTGGTCATTTCTACAGACAGGTTGCAGGCTTGGGATACAACTTCCTTCTCGTGAGCTCTACGTCGTTCTTGGCGATGGATCCATCGCACTCCGACAGCGACGCCGTAAATCCCTAAACCCATTTCCTCCGTGTCCTTCCAGACCTTTAATGGCGATGTTTGATTCTCGTGCGGTTTCTCTCTGATGGATTCGGTTAAGCAGCAGAAGATGGACATGGATGCGGTGGAGCAGGCTCGAGAAAGCGAATTCCTTACCCTCTCCCTTCCACCTCTCGCCGAGGATGACCCGTTCTTTGCAGAGAAGAAGGTAAGAGCGGGTTGTTTGAGCTTTAGGGTTCGACAAGAATAAGCCGATTTGCTATCCTCTTCAAGGAACCTAGATTACGTTGAACTGGATGAACGTCTTGTTCGGTTCAAGTCTATAATTAATATTAAATGGTAGGAAGAAGGATGCTTGTCGCACTGTGGATGGCGAAAGATGTTCCCCGCCTTTGTTGAAGAGGGAGAGAGTGCGTGTGAACTTCTAATACTGATAACAGAAAACATTCTTATATATATGTGAGCTCCAAACAACGAGAGCATTTATCCTCCTCCGCTCTCAGCTCTCTCCTCTTCCTTTCCCCCTCTCCTGTTCTCTCATTGTGATCCTAAAGAAACGGCGTACCTAGTACCCGAGGTTCCCGCCAATGCAGGATCTATGAAGGGTCGATATACGCAATCTTACATTTAAATATATAAATAGGTTGTTTATGTGACTTGAACTCTGGTATCCTAGGTCGCAAAGGAGCAATCTTATCATTGTACCAAGGCTCGCCCTTCATGGTCTGCATCTCCTTTCGCTTTTTTTTTTTTCTTGTATCCCTGGTGAATTGCTACTTGACTTGAGGAAAGGAATTAGCGACCACTATAGCTGGATATGGTTGCTCAAGACGAATGTCATAACTAGAGAAAGATTCTATATGTTTCTTATAGTGATATCAAGTATTTAAATGTATGATATTGTATCAGTTTAACTTTCAGAAGAAAAAAAAAGTTATATCAGTTGCTGGCATAGTGTAAACTTGATTTGTTCAGGGTTTTTTTGTTATAATTTTGAATTATTAATTTTCTTTTTGCATGTTGATCAATCATTTGTTTGTCTGTGCCCAGAGGTTATTGAATGCTAGAGAACTAAAATTTAAGTTTCTGGTGCCACTGCATTCATCTGCGGAAGAGGTGCTCCAAATAGCAGATCAAATGGTTCAAACTGCAAGAATATCGTGCATGAATGAGGTGCAAAGGACAGTTTTTGATCTATTAATGCCATTTCTTTCTGAATTTATTATTCTTGATTGGTGGATTGATCCAGTTTCGTTGACTGTCAGAAAGAACTCTATTTTGCTGGAGATGATGATATTGGTCCTTTCAGTCCTAGAAATGAAATAGAGTCCCTTAACTTGATGCTTGCAATTGTAAGCTCCTCGATTTCAAATGTCAAGGACAAGGCTGTGGAAGTTCTTCAACTGTTACGTGATTCAACTATTGCCATGGTCAAATCTGTGGGTGATAGCAACATTCATAAAATGACTGCTACAAAATTCGGTACTGATTCTGAAGAGTTGCTATTGAAGTGGGGGAAAGATCATGGTGTCAGAACAAAGTTGAAGATAGCTTGTAAGTCTGCATTTGTGTGCTTCCTTTGAGAAATATACTTGACTTGGTGTTGGATATCAAATCAACAATTCACTTATTATAAGATAGCATATACTCCATTGTTGTCTGTGTATCAACAGTGTGAGAATCCATTTTGTTAACTCATGTTATGGCTCGTCAAACTGAAAGGAAAATTCTTGAAGACTTGAATTCCTGAGATGCATGCGAAAAATATGTTACAGCTTGTGATTGTATATGGATGTCTCAGAGTTCCATATTAACATCTAAATATCATTTTATGTTCCCATCACAGACAAGGCCAAGTAGAGGTCATAAATTTAGTTACTTGTTATGTTAGCATGAATATTGTCATTCTTCCAATATGTGTGTCAAATTCTTTTTCAGGTGTACTTAGTGTCTTTCTGCTAAAATGTTTTGCTTAGCTCTTCTTACATTTTCCAACTTATTTGATGAACTTTGCTTACAATTTTCTGTGTTAATTGGTTTTACATTTTGGTAATATTTATCCAAGCTTATCAGCATAGCTGAATACTATTTCTCCTTTAAATTGTAAACAGCATTAATTCCATGCTTCTCAAAATTTTCACCCTCAACCAATCATGCTTACAATCATTCTTTTCTTTTTGATGCCTAATATTTTATTGGTCACTTTGTATAATATTGCAGTGCTACAGTGTTCACTTGGTTTTCACTTATGAAAAGATACCTTAGCTTCTACTTACCTACAGATTTTGAGGAAGCTGGAAGAGGAGCAGTGGCATCAGAAGATATGAGCATTGGGGACATTGCTTTAGAAATTCCAGTCTCTCTTATCATATCCGAGGACCTTGTTTATAATTCTGATATGGTATGCTATTATCATTAGATATTACTTCATTGAACTTTCTCATCTTAATGATAGTTGATTAGAGCTTTTCAAACCCAAAAATCTGCAGCCTGATCGGCATTCAACCTGTTTCATTTACAAGGTAGATAGATTCCTTATCATCTGCATGTCGCCAATAACCACAGCAAAATGAAGCTGGCTATGCTTCATAGACTAACAAGCGAAAGTTGAGCGAGTGATAAGTGACTTTCAATGGGAACTTGCATACTACTGTATTTAGGGTGTGGAACTTTGTTTCATGTTTCTACATATCTGCATGTTCTAAAGAAAAAAAAGGTTATTTGCTGCTTCATTAAGCTTTTCAAAGTGTATCAATCTTCTATTACATTTTGATTTTATCATTGCAACTGCAGTTTGATGTATTGAAGAATTTGGATGCTATTACCTCTGATACTATGCTGTTGTTGTGGAGCATGAGAGAGAGATTTAATCCAAATTCAAAATTCAAGATTTATTTTGACACATTGCCTGAAAATTTTAATACAGGTATATTTTACATAGTTGTTGATTTTGCAGTTTCTTGGTGATGGCCAACCAAGTTATGAAAGCAATTCTAGAATTTTTTGTACTACATCCAACAATCTTGGTTCTGCTGTTGTCTAATACTCTTTCAAACATCTTAAACATTGAAATGATAATAGGTTACTTTGCTTGTTGAACACTTCCATTATCTGAATTGTTTGCTTTTATCTTTCTGGTATTTCCTTACTAGAAATCCAAGTTAAGTTCCACAAATTTGTTGAGTAAGTGTGGCTGATGGTTATTGAAAAGTAATGGTTTTTTTGGCTATAATAGAAAATAACCAGCTGCATTATTTTGGATAAAAGGTTGCCATTGTTCAAGTTGTCAGGTAATAAGTTGTTCTGTTACTTCAGTTGCAATTTATCTAATCCGGATATGTAAATTATTGTGCTTCAGTTCAAGGATTCATATTAGAGCATAACATCTTGTTTGGTGGATGGTGGGCATGTAATGGACTGTAGGTATGGTCCAGAGCTAATGCTGCCTGTCGTAAAAAAAAATACTAGCGGCATAATAACAAAAAATAATTAATATCATATTTATACTTAAGAGCATTCCCGTTTCTACTCTCTCCTCCATGTTATAACTTATACATCTACTTGACATACCTTCTCAATATCATTATGTTCTGGGCTTGGAAATTCAGAGTTTTGCCAATATCTTACTTATAATTGGAACTTGTTCTTTCCTTTTCTAAAATAATTATTAGTTTACTTGTCATCCACCAGGCTTAAATTAGTCGTCAATGCTATCGATGCATACAAAAGATTGCTGCACTCCTAAATTTCTCCTTCAGTGAATTATACTATGAACTGGTTCTTTTGCTATATTCAGAATTGGTTGTTGCATTTAGTGTCTCTCTCCACCATGTCACGTTACAGTTTGGTGTATCATCTCTGATTTCTTTCAACTGTTATATCCCTTTTACTAATGTTGTCATTATATTTTGGATGTTTTAGTTAATCATTTTCCAACAGTTTGTTATGTGAACATATTTCTTCTATTTTCTAAGGAAACATAATTTTTTTGTTATTGTTCACCAGGGCTGAGTTTTGGAGTTGATTCACTTACTCTATTAGAAGGAACTCTGCTACTTGAAGAATTGCTGCAGTCTAAGGAGGTGCTCTATTTGTCATTCTTTTTCTTTTGGTGTGATGAAATGGCCAGAGTTCTTACTGTATCATTTGTTCCTCAATTTCAGCACGTACGCAAACAATTTGATGCCTTATTCCCAGCACTGTGTGATAATTATCCCGTTATATTTCAACAAGAGCTATACAGTTGGGATAAGTTTCTATGGGCTTGTGAACTGTGGTACTCCAACAGCATGAAAGTGGTTTTTGCTGATGGAAAATTGAGAACCTGCTTGGTTCCTGTTGCTGGGTTCCTGAATCACTCTGTCTGTTATCTAAACTTTGAACGAGGCAAATTGCCTTCTCTTTTCCTTCTCTGCTGACATTTGGAAAAAATTACTTCTTACTGCAGCTTTGCCCACACATACTTCACTATGGTAGAGTTGACCCAGCATCCAAGTCCCTGAAATTCCCTGTATCAAGGCCATGTGAAGCAGGAGACCAATGCTACCTTAGCTATGGAAGCTTTCCTGCTTCACATCTTATTATATTTTATGGTTTTCTTCCAAAAGGAGACAATCCTTATGATGTCATCCCTTTAGGTAATATTCTCACTATCTTTCCTTCAGTAAGCTTGTTTGGTGTAAGAATCATTCTATCATAAAGTATGTACTTCATAATTTGTTAGCAGCTAATAAGATGCTTATTGTAATACTGTGTTGTGTTGCTTGATGATTGTATTTGAAGGTATCGGGTAGCTTAATTGGTAAAAACATTGACAGTTTATCGCAAGGTCTTACACTTAAATCTCGCCTTTGCCACTTATCCTTTGCACACAAAAAAAAAAAAAAAAATTGATATCCGCTGTTTCTTGTTGAGTCAAGCAGATTCATAGCACATGCATCCCTTGATATGTCCAACTGTACAATCTTCTCTCCATTTGCTTGCTTTATTTTCTTGGTTTTATTCTATCCTCAAACTAGCCATTCTACTAGCCTCCTGCCCTCGTTTTGATGTCATTGCAGGTGCAACCAACTTCTGGTACTTGGCTATCAAGGTGGTAAAAGTTTGTGCAAGATGAAATGTTGTTTCCTTAAATCCTTGTTTTGCTGTATGTGTAGACTTTGATGCCCCTGATGCTGAGGACGGAGGCAACCAGCTACCGACCGGTGAAAATGTTAGTGCAACACATCTGGTTCGTGGGACTTGGCTATCGAAAGTTGACGAGGCTCATGCATATGGATTGGCTCCAAAATTGTTAGCTCATCTGCGTGCTTTGCTGAAAGCTGATTGTGCTGGACTTCCTCCTCGTACTCCAGAAGATGGAGTAAGACTTCCACCGTATTCATTAGCACTACATGTGCTGTTGTTTATGTATCATGCTTGGCATAGGTCCTAATCGTAGCTTTTTTATCGTGAGTTCTGGATCAAAAAGTGCATAGCACATTTTTCAACCCTTTATTTTAATTTGTGATGTAGTAAGAAGACACACCAATTATGATGGATTATTAAATCATTTTGCAGGTAGACAAAGATGTCGAAAGAAATGTGCTCGAGATGATTCTTTCTATTTTTGAGCCAATGTTGGAAGGAATATGCGATTCTGATAACTTCGAGAGGTATACTTGCTGTATCCACCATATGTTTCACTTGATTTTTTTTCTTTTTTGTGTTTGGATTCTATATAGCATAATGTTTTCTTGCAGGAACAACTCTAGTTGGGATGTGAAGCTATCATTAGACTACAAGGATCTACAGAGAAGGATTATATCTTCCATCATAACATCTTGTAATTGTGGCCTGCAAATGTCGGAGGACATGTGATCACAGGACTTGGTCAATAAAGAACTGATGTGGATCATAGAGAAGTGCCCAACGTTGCTGCAGCACTCTGGTAAATCCAAGCAGATTGTGAACATGGCACTAAAGGCTGGTTAGTTAAAATACGTGATTTATTTATTTTTTATCTATACTAATGGCATGATCGAAAGCAAGGTTCGAAGTCTCAGTCTGGGAAATTTGAGCCATCATTCTTGTGCCTATGGCCTATGTTAAAGGAGGGGGTGGGGGGGTGGAGATGATGGGAGGCGACGGAGGAGGGAGTCGACGGAGATGATGGGAGGTGGTGGAGAAAAATAAAGATTGACCGGAGAAGAAGAAAGAGTTAAGAGGCTGAGGTGGTGTTTAAGTCACAATCCCGAGGTGACGGAGACATGGTGTGAAGGAAGTGGTTATATTATTGTGGGCTAATTATATATAATTAGATCTTTTTAGTATTTTGATTTTAAAAAAAATATGTTTGAATTCATATAGTTATAAAAGTGAAATATTTAATTTTATTTACTCTAGTAATATCAGTTTTATCAATGAAAATATGAAAATGATGGGCAAAGAGATAATTTTAATGTTGTAGTTACCGATGGTGATGAATTACGATATAGTATGGGATCTGGATAGTTATTATGGATGAGGAGGAAGAATGATGACAAAAGATGAGGCAAAAGGAGAAGAGAAAGAGGATGACGTAGATGTCGACGTATTGCGTTTGCGTCAGCATCGTTTGGTAATTACGTTGGCACCGACACAGATGCATATGTAGAGTGATGTTATTTTGCATCTATGTTAGTGTCGATAATAATGAGATGAAGGGCATCGTCGCTTTGCATTTGCATCGACATCAATGCAGATGTCGAGCGACCAATTCATCGCTTTACATCTGCGTCGACGTCGTTCGATAACTACGTTAATATTGACGTAGATGCAGAGTGATGAAATGGCCACTTGGTAACTACGTTAGTGTCAATGTAGATGTCGAGTGGCCCTTTCATCACTCTACATATGCATAAAAGCTTATGCAGTTGCCTAGCAACGCCGGTACAAATGTAGAGCGTTAGTATCTACGTCATTCTCTTCATCCTCTCCTTTTGTCTCACCTCTCGTCATCACTCTTCCTTTTTATCCTCAACAGTCATTCGCAGCCTCTAGTAGCGTCGTCATTTGCCATCATCGAAAATGTTATTATGACATTGAAATTATTTTTTTGCTCAGTATTTTTATACTTTCGTCGATAAAACTAATGATGTTACGATAAATAGAGTTAGATGTTTCACTTTCATAATTATAAGGATCTCAATATAAATTTTTTAAATCTAAAGATTGGAATGTTAAAAAGGTCTAACTATAAAGAGAAATATGTAATTAGCCCTGTTATCTAAGTACAAGTTATTTGAATATTTTAAATATTATCTTTACGAAGACCGTGTATAGAGGTTTCTCGATTAAGAATATGATAGAAGAAAACAAAATATTTCTTAAATTAATTTTTAAAAAAATTATCTTAGTCAATATCATATATTTGATTTGATGTGATTATGCTTTTTTATTTTTATAATTTATTAATTTTTATAATTTTATAATTTATTGTGTATCTTTGAAGTGAAAATGAATCAGTAAATTAAGTTTTTCCTATCTTTTGTGTGATCGATGCCACATTTATTTTTCTGATAAAATGATTTTATTATCCACATTTCAGTTATTATCTTTCTCTTCTCTCTTATATTTGTTTATTATTAAAAAATATTCTCGGTATTTGTCGTTATCAAAGCTATTGATTTAGCTAAGAATATTTGATATTTCAACTATATTAGCTCGGAAGCCTATTCATAAAGTTTATCAATTAAGAATATTATTAAGAAAACAATTATTTCTAAAATCAAATCAAAAGTATTATTTTATTGATATCATACATTTGATTTAATATGCTTATAATTTTTTAATTTTCTTTTTTATTCTTGTACTTGAGCCTATAAAAAATATATAAAAATATTAAAACATTGTAATGCATCAAACAGAAATGAATCAATAAATTATTTTTATTTATTTTTTTCAATAAAATAATTTCATTATCCATAAAAATAAGTTGCTTTTGCCAGCAACATGCATACCATCCAAGTCAGATTGTAATGAGATACCGATCAACATTTAGGTTTGTGAGAATTTAGGGGTCACCCATTCACAACACCATATCGAAGCACTATAGTAGCTGAATCCAACAAATAGTGTATCTCACTAATGTCACAAGCGCAAAGTGGAAGATAGTATACATCACCAGTATGGGTTTGCATTAATCTCACAGGTAGGCCAGTCCTTATCATTACACAACTTGTCCAAAATGTACTTTGTTTCCCACTCTCTACTAAGTATCGACTACTTATTTCCCCAACAAATGAGCCTAGTGATCGGGTATAATAAATGAACAAAAATTCTCATCGGAAGGTCTAAAGAATAATCTCTCGGAACCTTTTGACTTGGGAGGTTCCACATTTCTTGTACAAGTTTTGTGATGCTGATGAAGTGGGTGACATGGTTGGCGGTATCTCACCACACATCCCTCAGGTATCTGCCTTCCGTTTGCAGACTCTTCACCAAACTCTCTGTCTTGGAGCCATCAAGAGATCCCTGCGACAGAATCACATAAAGAAAGTCAGCTTTCCAGCATCAAAATAACCACATTAACTCTCAGCTTGGGGAAATTGCATATTTTGTTTGCAGATAATAAAAAATAGATACATTTGATAGAGATTCCAAAACATCACTGTCATGGAGAATTTGAACATCAACTCTCCCCTACCCCACCCGAACCCAACAAGCTTCAGTCCATTTTAACTACCAATATTTCATGTCACTCGGCTGTCTTCTTGACATAAACTACTGCTTAACCACCAAAAGTATCCAATCTTTTCATGATATGACTAGATTAAGTTCAAAAGGGGGAAACGAGTCTATGATTTTGCTTATCCCAAAATTGAGTAGTACCCCAAACAAGAAACTGGATCAGGTATCTTCATTCGGTTTGATCTTTTATGAAATATACCGCCAGAAAGCTCACCGTACTGAACATATTGGACATCAAATAAGTCGGTACGAATTGTTGTGCAGATTAAAAACATGTAGCTTGATGTCTATAATCATTTTTATTATTTTTCAACAGTTGTTACTCAACTGTCAAATTCTTTTTCTCTTTTTCTCTCATGCATTCTGTCACTCAGGTGCTCCTCTCTCACATGCTGTTTCTTCTCTCCTTTACCAACTATACTCTCACGCATTCGCTCACTAATGTGCTCACCCTTTCCCATATACTGTTTCTTCTCTTCTTTGCCTACTCTCTCACGTTTCTTTCTAATCTCCATAACCTCCCCTTCCCCACCTCATCACTCTGCTACTGCCTCCTCCGCTCTGTAAAGTTGCCACCACACCCCCCTCCGTATACCTCTCTGCCTCCTCTTCTATCCCTCTCTTTTTTGGTCCAGACAACATCAATCCATATCGAGTCAGTATCATCTATTATTGGAACCATACCACCAGTCCAATTGCCAAGCAGTCTCAGCAAAAGATTTTAAACCTTGACCCTAAGTACCTACGGCTTGACTCCAGGATGATAGTCTTAACATATAGAGATTTAAGGTTCTTAGTTATTCTAAAAATTTAGGTGATTGAGAATTTGAGATAAATTTCTGTTCATTGGCAGGTGCTTTAAACGACAAAAGGTAACCTGACTTTTGCCAACTATCGAATTAAGTTGGTGACAAATTTGTAAGAACTCATAACGAATGCGAAAATTCAAGCACAGTTGTCGGGAATTTACCTGTTCTTGACAGATAGTATGAAGAACTTTGTGGACATCTCTAGCCATACCCTTAGCATCACCACAGACATAAACATAACCACCCTGGGAGATGATATTCCAAATGTCGGATGCCTGAAAATATTGTCATGTGCTTAAGGTTAAATAGAAAATGTGAAACTATAATTACAAGGGATGAAGAGACTCCAAAATGATATGAAAAAAGAATAGCAGACGTGTTTCTAACCTTTTCGGTCATTTTATGCTGCACATATTCCTTGATTGGACCTTCACGAGATAAAGCAACAATCAGCTCAGAGAGTATGCCGGTCTCAACAAAATTGTTCAACTCATCCTTATATATGAAATCCTGCAAAATTCACAGCCTCATCAGACATTGAATAATACTGAAATTTCATTCTAAATTTTATTGGATGCATTATTATTTATAAGCACCATTTTGCTGTTTCTGCAACCAAAGAAGAGAATTGCACGACCGAGTTGCATTCCAGCCTCCTTCTGTCCCCACCGTTCCTAAAAATGACAAAATTCATGTCATCAAAACCATCATTCCACTGAGCATTTTTTTTCATTCGACTGAGAGCCAAAACATATTTGCAGAAATGTCGCTCTAATAGAAACCTGCAAGAAGCCCCTGAAGGGTGCCAACCCTGTGCCAGGGCCAATCATGATTATAGGCAGAGAAGGATCAGCAGGCAGTTTAAAGTTTGACTGCCTCACAAATATAGGAGCCCAGCTGCATACTTGGCTCTCTTCCGATGGGACAGAATTCTGTAATTTAAAAGGTCACAGGATTAGATGAGAGGAAAATGAATCAAGTTATGATGGACAGCAGTAACAATCAGCAAACAGAAGTTGTAGAACATATTGGTTGAATGCCACTACAAAAAGCAATATGACATAAGATAAATCTTGCTTAAATTCTGAGATTGCCTTCAGTTTGATGAATTTCACTACTACCCCTAGAGTGTTCAATGAGTTCAACATAGGTCCTGCTTCAAGAGCTTTGATAGGTGCCATAACCATATCTTTATTTAAGACTTCAGTAAATTCATCATGTTCTCTGAGAAAAATTTGAATCAGCAGAAGTGGATCCGATCACCTACCATTGTTGCATGTGATACCATCCAGTGACGGCCATCAGTCTTATAAGCATCAAATATCATGTACACCCATGATGTTAAAATATAGTTAATGCACCAAAGCATCCTTTTCTCAAAAAGAAAAATTGGTATATTTGTTGACATGACTCAAAATGACATTAAAAAATGAAAAAGAGAACAACTATCTAACAAGAAGAAGCCAAGATTGACAGCACTTCAGATCAGTTATTCAATCAATTAGGTCAAGAAAGAAGGCTAAATATGGGGAAAGTACCTTCATCCAAGTTGAACAGACACCTTTGTGAATCCTCCCAGTTGGCATTCTTTCATCCACTAATGCACATGTCACATGGATCCTAGTTGGTGCCATCCTGAAAGAGAAACAAACAATTAATCGGCTGTTACATCAACTGAAGCAACAAAGAAAAGGTAGGTAATTAATGATTACCTTGGAGAAGATGATATTGAATAATATCTAGGCTGCAATAGGGGAGCAATGGCAGCAAAAAAGACTCCTAGTGGAGGCTTCACAGAGGGGAATTCAGCCATGACTTCTAGGAGACTCCTCTGGCTAGCAACAATCCATCGAGAGTATTCATCCTGCATCAAAGCAGCTGAGTTTAAAATTCTTACCATAGTAATAGATTTGTACATGCTCTTAGAATGAATGCTAACCTTTCCAACAGGAGAAGCCAAAAATCTAAGTCGCTCAGCTTCATTGGGCTCTGAAGCATGTGCAGCTAAGGCAACCAATGCACTCTGCATATTTTGTACAAAGAATTCAGATACAAATGCAATGGAAAATGGACCAAACTCCAAAAGGGAAAGGAGAAGTCACCTTCTTGGGAGAATTTAGAAGATCAGCATATCGGGTCAGTGCGGTTCTTAAGGTGCACGGAGATGGGAACGGAGGTGATAAGGATGCTCGTCCAAGTGGCGTGCCATCCTCCTTGTCAGCATGAATTGAGAAATATGTGTCTGGTGAATACCCCAACAACCTTTCAGCCTCCTCTACAGTCTCAATACAATTCTCAGTGAATACACCGACATGGTCTCCTGTTTCATACCTAATGAAAAGGATGTTTTCCATAATGGTCAGCCAAAATCAAACCAGAAATTTTGGTTAATATTAAACTAGCAAATTCACCACTTTAATTGATTCAGTTACTCAGTTAAAACTAATATTCATCACAAAGGAGCAGACCAGAGGATAATTCATATTTTTCAGTGCAATTATAAAAAACTGTGAAATTAATATGACTAGGAAACATGCATGTTCATTTAGCAAAATTGAGATCAGTTCTTTAAAGGTACTTAAAACCATCAAGCAACTAACAGAAAAGGACTAGCCAAGTAATTAAAAAAGCACTGCCGTTCTTCTACCAATCTCTACCTGAATTTTAAAAATTAAACAATACTTTCCTATTTAATTCTAGTTTAATGAATCATGTGGCAACTGTATTAACATCCATTAACTGATGCTTCAGACAACTGAGCAGAAGAACTTAAGCATTTTCTTTTTTAACAAGATGCTTGGACAAACAACATAACAGAATAGTGATACAAGTTTATTAATGTTTAACCATGTAAATTAGCACATCAAATATATTACGCAAATCACACAAAACCCTTGCATATAACTGTACAGAAACCAATGAGAAGCAATGCTTCACACAGCGTACCAACTAGAAATAAACTTACCTTAGACCAGTTCCAGCAATGTCAAACTCCAAATGTGTGCAGGACCGATCCGAAGCAGGCGTATGAAGCTCCCGCCGCACAGCCACATTAGACCTTGAAAAACCATGTGTCAGTTATGCTTTCCATCAGTTAGTTGGTCCTGGTGTTGCTACATTGAACTTGTAAATAAAAGCATCTCTACCTGCATGGATGTTGCATATCATGAACAGAATGGCCATTTGCAAGACTCCAACTCTTGTCCAGGTATGAAGCATCTTCAGTCTTGATAAAGACAACCCTGTATTCAGGAATAGCAGCTGTGTAAGGAGTACTTGCACCCGAAACATCATTTTCATCCCGAAGCAACTGATCCAACTCTGGCCAGAGAAGTTCCCTCCTGGAAATGTGGAAATGCATCTCCAGTGTTAGAAATCAAACAATGAACTAAGAAGTATAACAAAAGAGAGATATAATGATATTTTTGGAGGTGTGGGGAATCTCAGGACTACAGCCAAGGCTTAAAAATATGATGAATCAGCATAAGATTTTGCCAATACATCATACCATGCAGTGAAGTCATCCTCGATACATCGATCATCATCTCCCAGCCCCAATGGGATAATACGCTTCCCACCTATAGCAAGAGAGAAAAGAAGAAAACCCGAGCAACATCAGCTTTCAGTTCCATAATTGAGTAAAAGGTATATGTATATTTATCATGCACTGAAATGACAACTGGGATGTCATTAATGACAAAAAGAATGGCACTGCCCTTTAAATGAGTCCGAAAACAATTATAATCCATTAAAACATTGAAATAGTTAAAGCTATAAAGAAAGAATAATATAACAGAAAACAATGAGAAAATAAGCAAATGCTGACCAAAAGACCATCATAGGATTAAAAAAAAATAGAACATTTAATTCGAAGAAAATGCTCTGAGCCAATAGTTATGCTCCAGTTATAAACTAAAAACAAAGGTGGTTTCTGAACGTGTACAGTAATGTCAAATAAAAAACTTATATTTGATCAACAAAGGTGACATTCCATAGAATCCATCGTATTGCATCTAAATTTGTCATGATAGCTGCCAAGAGGAGACAATGGTGATGACAGATGATAATATATTCATCTAAATTGTAACAGCATGTTGACGGCAATGACTCCAAACCTTGTGCGTTACCATGAGGGATAGACAGTTTAAAACTTTTACCAAAGCGTTCAAAAGCAACTTTAGATCATGGTCACTCATACACACCTACCAGCTTCCCGTTTTATATTTGACAACAAAAAAATAAAAAATATTCATACATATATATTTTAGAGCTAAACAGAAAGTAGTTATTGGTTGTAAATACAAATATGTGATGCTAACATCAACATAGAAAAACATGTCAACATTCGGCAAACAGAGTAATTTAGCAAGTGCCCATCATAAGAAAAATTAATACCTGCTGCACAACTGCCAGCTAAATTCAGATACCTAGAACTTTATTTAGTAGCTCTAATGACTGACAATGACAAATCAATATGCACATGATCACAGGCTAGACATCTTTTACGGTCAAAAATTAGTTTCAAAAGCAAGTTACTATTAAGTTAATCATCAACAACATTAGGTGCACCAGGATGATGAGCATCAGAACTAATATCAAGTAATGGACAAAAACAAACAAAAAGTCTATTAATCAAGTAAGCAAAACACAGAATAAGATGAATTCAACTGACGAAACACACATGACTGGTCAAAAGTATTTACCTTGGTCAGAGAGCATCTCATCAACCACCTTAGCGACCTTTTTGTTGCAAGAATATATTGCAAAAAACATGTCAGCCAAGATATTTGCACAAAAAAGATGATACACTACAATTTAATCACAACCGAACCTTATTGAAATGCTCATATTGCCGGTTGCCCAGCCCGAACACAGCAAACTGAAGATCTTTTAGCCAGAGTCCTCTCTCTTTCCCCTGTAATCAACCAACAATCCATGACCATATCAGGAACCCACAACCAAATATCACTATGGGGACAAAGATTAACTTCGTGCAGAAATTGGTCTGTTCCCCAACCTCTGTAAACCATTTGTAGAACCGGGCAGCATTATCGGTTGGCTCCCCATCTCCGTATCTGTAACAGAAGAACGAGGATTGGTCAACCAAAATAAGGGCGAATTCACATCCAACAGGTAAATAGTCTCAACTTACGTGGCCACGAAGAACAAAGCTAAGGTCTCTTTTTTCATCTTCTCCTCGTATTCATCATCGTCAGCAGCATATTCGTCCTATAATTATGAGCTGATCGTCAATATCAAGTTATGAAAGATCAAACACGCACATTAATTCTGGAATAGTCTCAATAGTAGGGAGAAAGGTCCAAACCAAATCAACGACTTTAAACGATGCATTATTGTATCGGGCTGTCGCTTCGTCCACCAGCGCCTGATATGGAAGAGAAGGCAAGGGAAGATAAGAAAAACGAAAGATGAAAACATTTTCAAATCGAGTTGTCGGAAACCAAACCCTAACCTTAGCGAACCCCTCGGCCGTCCCGGTCTGCGTACCAAAGAAGACGCTGACCTTCTTCTTCCCGTCGTCTGCCTCCGCCGCCGGAAGGACCCTAACCGCCAGCGGTTTCGGCGGTTCCACGAGCTTCTTCTTGCCGCCCGATCGCCGCAGGAAGAAGATCAACGCGCACCCGACGAGCACGGCGACCGAGGTGCTGAGGATCATGAGGATCTGCCGGTCCTCCACGATCATCGCCGCGGCACCAGCCCCCGGCGGGAACCCGTCTCCTCGAAGTGATCCCTCGAGGATGGCCGACAACAGATCGATCGGCGACGGCTTCCCTGTTCCCGTCTGCATGGTGGCGGATCGAGCGAGAAATCCGAAGCGGAGTCCTCCAAGTCTCTCTCTCTCTCTCTGTGGGAGCGTTGGGGAGAGAGAGGGAGAGAGCAGCGAAGGGTTGGTGGGGTGGAAGCGACGGATCGAGAGAGGGCAGTGCTTATAACGGCGGCCTTCACCTCCTCAACTCCCCACCTACCCCTCGCCCTCCGGGGGGCATTGTGGCGCCGGTGGAAAGCACCGCGAAGTAGACAAAATTCCTAACCTACCCCCAACAAAAATAAAATGATGGAGAGCGGACAACCACGTCCGTCGCGTCCGATGGCGTTTTGCACGTGGCTCATCCGCACTTGCTCGTGTGAGACGCAGCGGCGTTGCTTGAAAGCTCGTGCCCGAGATCAGGAGGTCGCGCGCCGGCTTCGTGGCGGTCGCTTGGTCACCGGTGACCTTTGCCGTTCGTCATCCGCCGCACATAGCGTGCTCGACGAAATGGTCAGCGCACATCCCACGACGTGGGATCAGTCCAAACCACGACCGAGCAATCTGTGGTCTGCGCACAACGAACCCTGTTTTGGCCGATAAGTAAATCTCCGCTGCATCAGCCACCTTATGGCTGCTTTTGACTTCCTCCCGCTGGTCAAGTCGACAAGGAACGCAAACAACAGTATCGACCAATAATAAAATGTTTCAAGTCAAATATGGCGATTTCATTCTCATCCTTTGGTCAATTCCTATTATTTTTCCCAAAAACAGAAAAATTTACTCACCCCCTTTTCTAATCAAAACTAGTCAAACTCAAAATTGGCAACGCCAGTTGAAGAATGCAATTAGCTTTGCAAGGTTTGAGGGATTATTAAACAGCTCTATGATTGTTGTTGCTGAAATATATTTAATTATGAAAGATATATTATTAGATATGATTAGAGATTAAACTTTTTCTCTCAATGTCTCTAATCTCAGTTTTTCTCTCAATCTTCATAATCCATCAATGTAGGTGGTCATATGGAAAAGAAAAAAAAAAAAGAATATAGTGAAAAAGATAGAAAAAGAGAAGGATATAGTTTTTCTTATAGATTTATATGTTAAATCCGATGAGACGAATGAGAGGAGAAGGATCTAGTTCTCCTTGCAGATCCGATGGGACTAAATCAGATAAGATTTATTCTTCTAAACAACAATGAAATGTACGTATCGTAATATTATTATATTTAATTTTATTTGATTTCAAACATGACATAAAATTTGAGGGGATCATACCAACTTATCAGCTCTACATTTTTATGGAAACAAATCTACAAGTAAACACCTTCAGAGGTTTGGTTTTATACCAGTAAAGAAACAGCAAAAACTAATAACCCATTAATATGATTCTAGAAAGATTCAGATGAATAAAGAAAAACATGAATGCATTTATTTGTTTTTTATGATTAATATAATAGAAGTAAGTTTTTAGCTCAGCTTTAAGTTTTCCTCCTCCGAATATAATTTCATCTTTTCTTCTATTTTCGTATTTTCGTTTTAGGTTTTAATTAGTTACCCATTTTAACCTTAGAATCAAAATGTTCTGAACTGATCATTTCCAAAAATTAAGCTGAACTGATCCAAAATGTTCTTTAACATCAGATTTGATATTTTTATGGTTTAAGTGTTTTACTTTAATGATGGATGGTTTTTTCTTTTATGTTAACGAGTAATAGTTTGCGTTATTATCCTAACACAAAGTGGATTTAAGAGAAGCATTTGCGTAGTTATACTGAATCCATCACATCTCCGTTCTTCTAGACTTTCTTGGTCTAATCTGATTTATTTTGCTCTTGGAAAGTAGAGATATTAGGTCATGCTTATGCATGAGAGATGTATAATAAGATTGAATATTTTGACATCATATCATATCCTCTTTATTATTTTTAGTTTTGTTGATTATAATATGAGGGTTAATTATATATTATCCCTTTTGTAGTTAGACATTTTTAGCATCTTACTCCGCTTATAAAATTTATATTAGAATATCTATAATTTATGAAAGTGAAATATCTACTCCCATTTACTTAAACGTAATTTACCCAGAACATGTCGACGAGAGCATAAAAATAATAGACAAAATGATGATTTTAGTATCCTAGTTATGTTTTTGATATTGGTAGACGACGGTGCCACTAGGGGCTATAAGTGATTATACATGAGGAGAAATAGTGACGACGAGAGATGAGACAAAATGATAAGAAGAATAAGACGATGTAGATATCGACGCTATGCATCGACGTCTCTAGACAATTACATTAACGGTGATATAGAAACAGATTCAAAGCGTCACTTGGCATCTACGTCAATACCGACAATGATACGAGGAAGGACAGCATTACTCGACATATGTGTCAATGTCACTCGACAACTATATCGATGCCGACATAGATGCAAAGTGTATGAAATGGCTGCTCAACATCTATATCGATATTGACGTGAATGTAGAGCATCAATCTCTACATCGTCCTCTTCCTTTATGTCATCTCTTACCGTTGCTCTTTCTTCTCATCCACAATAACCATTCACGACCCCCAACGATATTATCATTCGTCATTACCGAAAATATAATTAAAATATTAAAATTACCTTTTTGACTATTGTTTTCCTGCTTTCATCGAGGTATATTGATGACATGAAGATAGATGTTTCGCTTTCATAATTATCAAAATTTTAATATAAAATTTTTAAATATAAGAATCAAGATACCAAATTAATCTAATTATTGGATAATATATAATTAATCTATTTTATTTATACACCAACCGGTTTATGCATGAGGCAGACTTTCGAATCCCACCCACCCACATAAATCCTCTTCTGAATTCAAACATGTATCCAATTCATCGATTTATATCGTTGACTTTCCGCACTTAGATACATAAATGCGAACGGAATTTATGGGACCAGCTAAAATATCAGTATCAACAAACATAGAGAAGGCATGATAGTATTAATGGTGCCGAAGCCAAATGAATTTTATCATTGTATTCATATTATTTCATGATATATCTTTATATTATTTAGCCGTATTGATACATATAATAAGTGGTGGATAGTTAAGTAATAGCGATCAATTGATTTATTCTCGTTATTATCCATAATGATGTAGTAAAATCGAGATATAATTTCTTAGGTTAATTATAGATTATTTTATATAATTAACTATGCTTAATATTTCGATTCTAATATTTTTAAAAGTAGTATTAAGATTTCTATATTTACAAAAACAAAATATTTAACCTCAATTTGCCTCAAAGCGTCGCCCCGTCATCCCCGCACTGGCCGGCTGCGACCTCGTCGTCCGCCCTAATGGACTCCGCTGGGGCTTACATCTTCTACGCTGGAGGAAGGGATGGCTGGATGCTGCATCCCTCCGAGAGTTATGGTGACTGGGCTGAGAGGAATAGGTTTCAGACACCATTGATATGTGCCGACCGAGGAATGCTGGTCGTTGTCTATGGGAAGAGTCCTTGAAGTATCTTTCCCTCAACTGCAGCATACATCTGTAAACGCTAAGGGACCATTAAGGATGGTGCTGGGTTGGATGATGGGTTCCGGAAATGGGGGTGGGGGCGGGGCAGGGGAAGAAACAGGAGGTGGCGACAGAGGGAGGGAAGGAGGAGAAGAGATCGGCGGACGGTGCCTCACAGCCATGACCACCACCACCACCAGCTTCTGCCCTCGTTGGCAGTTCCCAGGCGTGCCGCTGATGAAGTAGAACGGCCCCGACCGATCGAACTTGAACACGGAATCGCCTCCGTCGAGCTTCTGGATCGGTTTGCTCACGTCGTATGCATCATAATCCTGCTTGCTCACCACCAGAACAGAGTCCTCCCCCTTCTTGTACTTGAACACTGCACAACACCATGCAAAGCTCAAAGCACTATATATCAACAACTATAGCTGATCGGTCGGCACATACCAATGGCGTCAGCAACCTGAAACCTATTCCTCTTAGCCCAGTCACCATAACTCTCAGAGGAATGCAGAACCCAGCCATCCCATCCTCCAGCGTAGAAGATGTAAGCCCCAGTGGAGTCGGCCAGGGCGGGGATGATGCGGCAGCGATTCGAGGCGGCGCCGTGGTCTACCATCCGTGGTGCAGCCGAAGGGGAGGGAACCGGCGAGAAGTTTCTGTCCGACGCTTACGAAAAGTTTGTATGAAATTAATAATTTAAAAAATAATAAAAATATTTTTTTAATATTTTTATTAGTCTATAAGAATCAAAATACTAAACATAGCTAACTACAGCTAATTTATAATTAGCTCTAATTTCTTATTATTGCATTTATGAGAAAGATGTTGATTCTTCGTAAGAGGATTAAGCTGATCATAATCCTCTTCTGGCGGCGGCCCCTCGTAACGTACTTCCTTTTCGGAGTTCACGTTAGCAGTCGCCACCCGTTTAGGACTCCGGACCTCCCTGGCGCATGTTAGTGTCGTCCCTTGTCGAGGATTTGGCCCGCACTTCCCTGGCGCACGTTAGCATCGTCCCTCGTGTAGGACGCGCCCGAACGTCTTTTACATCGCTGACACCCATTCGAAATCTCGGCACGGCGGTGACGAAACCCGAGACGAGTCCAAAAAATCCCTTCTCGCGCCCTCCCCCGACAAAAGCGAAAGGAAGTTCCCGAATCCCATCATGGCAGGGACTCGGTCCGAGTTCGATCTCGGGGTAAAGCCCTCGCGTGATCACCTCTCTCCTTCTCCTCCTCCTCCGTCGTCTTCTTTTTCTGCGGGCATTTGAACCTAATTTTTCGCCAATGCAGGCATCTGCGGCGCCCCCATTCGGGATCCGGTGAGCCGATCTCTCCCCTGGACTGCTCTCCTGATCCCTTGACCTAGGGTTCTGATTTCATCTTGCAGGGAGTACGCCTTCGCCGATGCGGGAAACCTGGAGCATTGCGCCAAGTACCTTAACCAGACGCTGGTGACCTTTGGATTCCCCGCGTCCCTTGATCTCTTTGCTACGGATCCCGTGCGTTCTATTTCCATCCTACACTCGATAACCTACTTGTTCAATTTTCGAAATGTTTCGTCCTTTAGTCGCTAGTTTACGTCCGATTTATATGATAGAAATAAATTCTTGGCGGTAGGTCTCGATTGCAAGGACCTGCAACTGTATTCATTCTCTGCTACAACAGAGGCAGCGGGACATCGAGTTCAGGGATGCCTCCAATGAGCAGAGACAAAGGTGAATACGTTTGATATATAATTTCACAGTGACTTGTCCTTACAAGACCTGGAATGTCATCCTTCTCAATTAATAGTGTGCAAGGAATGTTTCTTGTTTCTGCTTGTCTTTTACTTATTCTAAGAGCTAGAAACAGGAATTTAGTGAGTTTGCTGTGTAGCTATAAATGGAATTTCCAGTCGTTGTCAGTCCGTAAAGATTTTTTATCCGTACAACTGAAATTTAAGAAACTTAATAGAAGCCTTGAAGTGTTATGTTTGAGTGACCTTCAGAGGATCTGTGAATTTTGACAGAGTCACCAATCGAGAAAAATTGGTGCTTGAGTTATGGAGTAAATGGATTTTACTTGGTTCATCCAATGTTTGGTAGCTTTCATCAAGGTTCGCTGTACCAAGTTGTACCACCCGATACTGGTGGTATGTACCAATCCGACAGGGGATTGGTATGGATGGTACATACTGGTTTATCATTATATCCTATCGTATCATATGTCGGTATGTCAGTATGGTTCAATACGTGTCGTACTGATGATCGATCAGTGCATCGGTACGGACCGATAAGGCGGACCATGGTTTTCATATCCAATTATTTTGTTCGTAGTCGAGTGTGACCAGAAATTAGAAAAGATATTCCCAAGTAATGAGCTGAAATTCTGTTCATTTTGTTGCTCTTGAATAATATATTTTTAGCACATTCTGTCCTATCAAATGTGCCAAAGAATTGGCCTTTTCTACCATGTGTTTGCATTGATATTATGGCCTTTTTTTATGCTTTAAATCTGCCATGGCAATAACTTGCTGATATCTCTAAGAAATTGCTGCCAAGTTATGCTCGGTTCTTTTCTCAAAAAGAAGTGGTAGTTAGTTGTTCAATGGATAGTTCATGTCCTATTTCTTAGGTGCCATAATTTGCTTTTCTGTGCTGCAGACTGCAATCTGATATTTCAAGATTAGAGGCAAAAGTCGAGAGGCTTGAGGCACAATTAGCTGCAAAAGATCGAGAGCTAGCTAGTTTAACACGAACGGTTTGTGAAACATGTTTGTTAAATATCACCCCTCCAATGTGATTTAGAGATTGCCTGTGACTGTCAATTCTTTTATCCAGTATATTACTGAAACTATAAAAAAATTTCATGATTAGGAGGCTAAAAAAACAGCAAGTTTGAAGGCTCAGATTGACAAGCTGCAGCAGGAACGAGATGAATACCAAAAAATGGTCATTGGAAATCAGGTGGAATTACCTTTAGATGATGTTTTGTGTATCCTTTTTCATCTTTTTTGGGGAAACACATTCCTTTTTTTTATTACACTTTCTTTTGTTGGATAACCATGGCATCTAACTCTACCTTTTCTTTCATAAGCAAGTGCGCACACAACAAATACATGAAATGAAGAAGAAGGAAAAGGAATACATAAAGCTGCAGGTACTATGATTCCCATTATGGTACTTCTTTTTGTTTCTTTTCTTTTTTTTTCTCCACAGAAGTGTATTATCAGTCACGGAGTGATATGTCCAAAATGCATCTTGCTAACCTTAGGACTATTTGTTTTTTTGTAGGAGAGACTGAACCAAGTGCTGATGGAGAAAAAGAAGGAATCTCGGTCAGGAATGGAGATTATGAACCTTTTGCAGGTACTTAAAAAGCTTAAACATGCAACGTAGACATTCTTCTGGTAGTCCCTTCTCTATCCAATTTTCTTAGAAATCATTGTATGCTCTGGCTAGATCTAGATGAGAAAATCTTTCTCTGCACAATAGATTGTTTATTTGCTTTCCATACGAGTCTTTGCTGTTTCAGATCATCACAAACACCTCCACCTTATGGAACTTGTCCATCTAAATGAATTTAATATCACTGTTACCAGAAAGAAGGGCGTCAACGTGGGACATGGAATGGAAAGAAGGCTGACAACGATTTCTATAAGATGATAGTAAGAAAAATATCATTGCTTTTATTTAAACATGTAGATATCTAATGTTGGTTTTTTTATTAGAAAATTGTTGAAGTGTTTCGTTCTATTAGTATTATAATACTCTGAACATCTATAGGTTGATGCATATGAGGTGAAGAAGCAAGAGCTGATGGCAGAGAATTCTGATCTGCGGGCTTTGTTACGTTCTATGCAGGTTTGAAAATTGTAGCCATTAAATTATATTTTCTGTTTAATTGAGTGTTCTTACTCAGATAACTTTTTTTATATATAACACTGGAGGTCTATTTGATGAACTATTATATATACTGTGCTAATACTACGTCCATTGATAAGAATGTATAATCAGGGCCCATGTATTCTTTTCCAGTCTTCTCCTCTGCAGTGCATATAGCATGGTGTTTCCTCTTCTATTTCTTCTCGTCACTGTGCATACCTAGTCTTATGGTAAGTGGAGGTTGAGACTTGACCTTTAATTATCTTGATTCTTGATCGATCTCGACCAACATATATTATATTAAACTGGTCAAATGACTACTAAAGAACTGGTCCATTGTCACCAAAACTGGCCCAAAATGATGTAGATCTGTAATAATCCTATATATGTAATCCGATGTATGAAGGTCCTGCACAAAGAGGTCTCTGACTTGGTCCACTACTGCACTGGTGCAAAATGCTCATAGCAGCTGGTTAATTTTGAGTTTGCAATCCATGAGCATGACATAATGGACTGCTCGAATGTGCCTCTCTTTTCTTAATGTTCTATTTTTTTGCAATATACTATCTTTCATTTACCTTAGGCCAAAAAAGATTCTCTTAAGGAGGTGTTCATTGTTTTTTTTTCTTTGAAATGTCATAGAAAGTGGTATCTTTTCTATCACTACTTCAAAAACCATACTTAAATGTTACATTATTTTTATGCTTGTTCGACATAAATCCGGACAAAAAAATGCTTAACTATTTTTTTGTATTATTAGATGGATATGCGTGACTTTCTAAATGCTCCAAGTGGTCTATCACAACAAACCTCTACTGTGAATGAAAGACAGGATGCTGACTCTCCGCAATCCCCTTTGGGTGGCAGAACGGTAGGGTGATAGATTATTATCTTTCTTTCTGAACCTCCAAAATTGTCAGTTGTTAGAGAATGGGAATGAGGGCAAAGAGCAGGCTTCCCCTAGGTAACTTCCTTATGCAACGTTTTCTGGCAGGATGTCTTTGATCTACCTTTTCACATGGCCAGAGATCAGATAGAAGAGAGTTTGCGTACCAAGATGGCTTCAATAAAGGTATGATTCATTGGTTCTCAACTAAGCACATGATGACCATTCCCTTCACTTTATAGTTTTCTTTTTTACATTATAATTAGATTGCTTGGTTTTTCACATTAGCTACTTTATTTATTTGTTTACTTATTTATTTTGATACAGTCAAGGATGGTACAGTTGCAAGATGCACAAAAAGGAGCGGAATTGACCTGTGAAGCAACTGAAAGGGAACTTGAGCTTGAGGCTCAACTTGTTGAAGCTAGAAGCATTATTCAAGAGCAGGTCAAGACTTACTTTCATACAATTACCTTGTGTGTTAATTGTAGATCGGTGAATCTTCAACGTCGCCAAATTTATGTATAATTTGCCCCTATATTCAGCATGAACTATTTTGCAGGAGAAGATTCATATTGCAGTCTTATGTGATTCTGCTTCACCTTATTCTCAACTGCGAGAAAGCTTATGCATTTTGCGTGTTTTGTTGTTTCAAGTAACATATATGGCCATTAGTGAATTTGCATGTAACTTTTAGAGCTTGTAGGATGTGTATTAAGTGCTTCAGTTGTGTAATAGGAGACATATAACATTATGGTTTTCTGAAATAGAATGTGCCATATCTAAATCTAAAATTTGTTTTTTCTACTTCTACTAATGTTGTTCTAGCCAGGACTTCATTGACACCCATTTGCATTTCCATGCAGGCTTCAATAATGTCAAAACATTTAGCAAAAAATGACAAGCCAAGGTGATTCCGAATAACTTGTTTTTGTTCCTTTTTTATCAGTTGCTTGCATACTAATTTTTCTTTCTCTTCAGGAGATTGAGCAGCCATTTTGATGCCGAGAGGGAGGTGACCCATTCAACATCTGCTGAGGTGCTCTGAAATATATTGAGATTTACTTATTTCCGTTATCTTGGTTGATTCTATATGTTGATTTGTTTGTGGGTTAAGAATGATTATCTGTAGGGTAAATCATCTTGTCTGGCACTTGCTTTTGGTATTTTCTGAAACTAATATAGGAGCTTCCAGCTGCAATTTAACTTTGTCTGCATTTCTACATTCTACTTATGAACCTATATCCATTTGTATTCTAGGTGCAATTTAGACCACCTCTTGTGCAGCCCCATCTTACTGCTATTAGTACCCCTTTAATCGTGCATTTTTACTAGTTTTATCCCTTAAATCACCCATTTTTACTCGCTTTGCTTGTGTAACAAGGAAACAGAAGATTTAGCAAGTTGGACAGGCTATATGCTTGTGTTCGATATTCTTTTTAATAATGTCATTTTGGTATAGATATTTAAAGTTATCCAGACATGAAACTTGGATTTTATAAGTCAGCAACATTGGATCCAAATTATTATGACTTTGAGTTATTACATTGTTTACGAGGACATCAGGTATGGAGATTAATGTTGGAACATCTAAATTGCGAATTTTAACATGACTTTTTGGATATGCATCAACATGTGCCTATACAGTAGGGTTCACTGTCAATGACAATGACAGGTCTCCTTCCCTTCCTTCTGATGGTGACAGATTTTTTCATCTTCGATTTTGGTCTGTGATTCCTGAAACTGTGTATACCAATCAACTTCTTAGATAATGTCATTTCAGATTTAACTACTATGGATATTGGCATCAGTTGGGCACTGTTGATTATGTCTCTAAGAGACTTGTTACCTTTGTTGATTAAAATAGAACATACATGCACACGTCACAGCAAACTACTAAACTCATCGTTGTTTATGACTTCATTGATGTGTTTTGTTTTCTATTTTGATGTCTTTTATGATCAAAAGTACTAATCATGCTGTTTCTGTGATTATAGGAAGTCTAAAAGCTCAGGATAGCATGATGGTATGCTGATGGCGGTGAAGAACTTTTTCTAGTTTAAACCTAGCGGCATAGTTTCGTAGTTATTACCACAAATGCTTTGTCACATGAACACTGTATAATATCCTTAGTTGACAAGTCACGTGGATTCAGAGTACCCCTACCGAATCCATCGATGTAGATCAGTGTAGTGCTTCTTGGCAAGTCGAAAGTAGTCATCTTCAATTTGCAGCTATAGTTACTTGGCTCAGTCATTTATTTTTAAATGTTGGTACCTTCAGCAATTTGGAAACTGCAGAAGATTATTGTGAACTATAATGCAACATTACAAGATCCACAAATTCCATTCTATTACACCATCATGCCTTCTTCATAATCTCCGTTTTTCAAGTTGTATTAATCTAGATGACCCTCAAATCTGTTTGGTTTTGGTTGCAGTTGTGAGTGCTACACCTGCAGCGTGAGAAACGTCAGCAAATTTTGATTCATCGAAAGGTGCTCTCAATCCCTCTCCTGTATTTTATTGTTGTTGGCTTTTAAATTGTGTTTGTGTTCTTTTCCTTCGCCGGACAGAGGGAATGCCACAGTGGATATTGAAATTAATATGAACTACAGCAGTTCTTCAGCTTTTCCATCATCAGCGCGTCTTAGTACGCAAGTAAAGAAATAGAGTTGAAAGAACAGTTTGAACTTTCTAAGTTTACTGAGAGTAAGGAATTCACTTGATCGATCAATGAAAAGATCTTCAGAAAAGATTACGTCATGCGAAAAATCTATCCGGATTTCTTACGTACTGCAGGCAGCAGCCCTTGCAACCTCTGAGAGAAGTGCTCCAGATGAGGTCCCTCCCCTCGCTCCTCCCCTGCACCGACTTCATCCCCGCAACATGCAGCCCTTGCACATCCAATCTGCTGCTGCACCCCTCCCCAGCCGCCGACGCCTCGATTAGCCCGATCATGGCCTCGCCGACCGCCTCGTAGTTCTCCCTCGGATCCCTCACCTGCACCAGCATCACCAGAACCATGCGCTCCTTGCTCCCCGCCTCCGCCTTCTTCTCTGCAACCTCGGCGGCGGCCCTTCCTCCTCCCCCCATCTGGATGCGAAGCCCTTCCAACGCCAGCCCTTCCATCTTCTCCACCGAACCCAGCAGCACAGCCTCCACGAAATGCTCCTCCGCCCCCGTCACCACCCTCTTCCCTTTGATCTCTCCCGTTTGGCGTCCGCTCAGGTTGCTCATCGGCATCGACTCATGCAGGCACTCCCACAGCTCCCCTCGTCTCAAGGACGCCATCCCACGTATCACCTGGTAAGGTTTCAACCCATCGTTAGCATACATCAGTGAGAATTACCGGCTATTTCGTTCTCAGATCACCTCCGCTGCGGCTGTAGCGTTCTCGGCGATCAATGGCGCCGAAACTTGCATGACCAACCTCCCCCACGGCCTGCCCGGTTTCCTGATCTCATGGAGATAGCTGCCATCCGATAACCTCGTCATCTCCGTGTGACCGTTCTCCGCCGTCATCACGGCAGTGTTCTTCGGGCACTCCGTCTGCCTCTTCTCCGTGCTCACCCACGCGTCGAGCTTCCGGAGCTCCTGCTCTAGCTGCCTCGCTCTTCTCCAGTACGCTTCAGCCGCCGCTTCCCCATCCCTGAAAAGGGACGGCATTGCCGGTGCCGCAGAGGGTTCGCACGTGGGCTGCGGCGGAGGGGCCGTAGGAAGCGACGGTGGCTGGCGGTGGGAGGGAGGTCGGCACAAGGAGAGGTACGACTTGAACCTCAAGCAACCTGCGGAGACGACCGCAGGAGACGGGTTCTGCCTCCTTGAGCTTCCGTTGCTGTTCGCCATGGCATGCAGCCTCTCTGGCCTCGCTCGCTCGGCTTCTGCTTGGGTAGAGCGACGTTGGATGTTTTGGTCTATTATTTGGGATCCACAGCGGGATGCTTGCTTCTGTTGTCGACCTTCCAGTGTTGTTGCGATACTGTCGCTCTCTCGTGGCTTGAAATCTATGGTTCGAAGTCTCTCCAACGGGCGTATCTTCGAATCTCAAGTTCGCAGCCATTCATGCACAACAACGTTGCTTAACGTAGATTATAATGTAGATAGATCGATATTACATATAAATATATATGTATATGTTGGAAAATATTAAGAAATATATCAGGATCTTTGGGGTGTATTTGTAACGATGAAAACTCAAGTTTACAGTCCAACGTCATCATCAATCCCGACCGATGCCTTTACGACGAACAGTACAGGAGCAGTGCTCTCCTCCAGGGAGAGAACTCTCAGCATTTGCTGTGGATGACAGTGTGCATTGGTCCCATCAGTACGGACATAAACAACGTTTGATGCACGTCCTTGTGGAAACCCCTTTTCTCCTTGGATTCATCCGTCTTCGTTCCAGCTCAAGCATAAGCATAGGACCATCATTACTTCCTTGTGGGCTCCTTCGTTCCTTTCTCACCCAAACTCATGATCATCGACGCAACTCTCCTCCATTTCTACCTACCCCCGCCTCTCTCTCTCTCTCTCTCTCTCTCTCTCTCTCTTCATGTATCTGTCTAACTCTCAACATGGGAGAGTTGAGCACCACGGAATGCACTTGAAGATACAACGTCTTCATCTATCAGAAGGAATACCTCCATAGACTGCACCTTCTTTTACTTCACATGTTAGGGAAAAAGCAGGAGAAGTTTGCAGTCCAAAGTACTTGGACTCTATACTTCCATTACACGGAGCATTGCTGGGGTACGTACACTACCGGGGAGCATGCAGCAGTAGAAGTTTGATCGCTTCGCATTGATGTCAAACGATGAAACATGAATCAGAGCATCACATGCCCGGTTGCGCCTCATCTACTGCTCCATCGATGAAGCCTGCAGATGTTGACTGTCAGATTAGCTTTACTGTCAGTAAACTCGTAACGAATCTTGAGCTTGCATGATGCATAGTTTCTTGGTTGGTGCTTCTCCTTTGAACTGTGTTCTGGAAGAGCAGAGCTGAAGACACCCTGAGATGACATGAGATGACGAGAAACAAAAGGAGACCCTTCTCTGTCTTCGTCGTACTACCATCACCATCAGAATTCTGACAAGAAATCAAAGGACGCAGGAGTAGATCCAGAAAATTAATCACTAGACGTGTATCTTTAAGCCTCGAGAGGCCCACCTAGATTCCTAGTGGCCTTCAAATGCTACGCAAAGCCTCTCTTTCTTGCGCAAACAAAGCCAACACAGCCACTACTTCCTCTCATTCAGAGGGGTTCCGACCTCCTGCATAGCTTTCAGACAAGTCCACCTCGCTTTAGGGCAGATAGAAGCAGCTTCCTTATCTCCCATCTCCCCCATCTCCCATCTCCCATCTCCCATCTCTCTCTGTCTTCCTTTATAGCCATCCTACTCGACATTGCCGTTTCAACACCCACCTCCCAAGACTTGATGCGGAGATCAAAGTAGAAAAGGAGGGGAGAAAGGCAGAGGCGAACTTCCAATTGTGTTCCTCTGTGTGTGGTGTGTGTGTGTCTCCTGAGAGGCATTTGATGGGAGGATGACGAACAGATTTAGCTCTGCCGGAGCCTTCGTCCCTTCCATGACGTCCTTTGCTGGGATGGAGGGCAGCAGCCGAAAGCACTATACTTGGAATTGGGAGACCAACTCCCACAACCTCCAAAACCATGCATTCTTCCCTTGCACGCCCTTCCTGGATTCCCCGCCTCCTCTCGTCCCCACGAACAGCTTCCACTTCTTCTCGCCGCCGCCGCCAGAGTACCCGATAGGACTTGTCAAGATGGACGACGGTGGCAGCGGCTGCGGCCGAATCGGGCTAAATCTAGGCCACAGGACCTACTTCTCGTCCGGTGATGCACTTGCAATGGACCGGCTCTTGGCGAGGTCGAGCGGGATGCACTCGTTGAGCAGCCATCAGCCGCGGTGCCAGGCCGAGGGGTGCAAGACTGATCTCTCCGGGGCGAAACACTACCATCGCCGCCACAAAGTGTGCGAGCTCCACTCCAAGGCCACCGTCGTCGTCGTCGGGGGGTTGCAGCAGCGCTTCTGCCAGCAGTGCAGCAGGTAGGAGCCAGTTGAGAGGGAATCCCACGTCTACCGCTCAATTTGAGGAAAGATTCCATCTTTATATGCTTTTCTTGATTTCTTTTGGGATGCTTCTCTCGATTCCATCTCATGTTCCTTCTTACCTCTTCCTTTATCCTCGTACGTCCTCGAAATGGTGATCAGGTTCCATGTATTGGCGGAGTTCGACAAGGCCAAGAGAAGCTGCAGGAAGCGGCTGGCTGACCACAACCGCCGGCGGAGGAAGCCTCAACTCCCACCAACAACCATCACATCACCCTCCAAGAATACCACCACCGACGCCTCTGAGAAGTCCAAACAAGCCCAAAAGACCACCGGAAACAATGGTGACAACCATGTTCTTCTCTTGCTCCTTCGACCAGCTTCCGACACCGGAGCTTCTCTTGTTCTCATGCATCTCTACCACTCTCTTGAACAGCAGACACCACTTGTCCCACAAGTCTAAGCAACAAGGTTGAGGGACAGCAGTGTCAGAACAGAGGCAATCTGCTGAGGAATGCACCGGCTTTATCTCTCGGAGGTGTTGCAGCAGAAGGAAGTACGGGGTCTCAACAGCCTTTCGTTAAAGTGGCTGAGAAGAAGGTCTCACATCAGCGGCAGCAATCTTCCCCCTCCTCCTCCCCTTCACCATTCAACAATACCTACTTGCACCACCCCCACCTCTTCAGCTCAGGCTCCCACGAGCCCTCCCAGATCAGCCTCTTCCACCTCGGGCAGGCATTGTTTGAGGTGGACTACATGTGATCAGCGGGGAAGTCCGGAAGCTGGATGGATCAGTTCCTCTTCCTCTCCTCCTCTTCTTACTGTTCTACTGAGAATAATGCTCCAGAGATTTGAACTGCAAACGATCCTTCTTGTGTTCCTTAACATCTATATATGCAATCACACATGCATTTCCAACAGGTGATGATCAGAGTCTTCGCCTATAAGTGAATAGTATTGTAGAATTTAAATGATTCAATCACATCTCATGTATTGATCTAATCTTTAAGATGAATTGGAATATTAGAAGAAAAGACCATTCATATTGGCTTTCCCATACTCCTACTAAATAATATTGGAAGAGAAGCTAAAAAAACTAAGTAGACACATCACAGTTATCAAAATTGATCATTCGAATTCGAAGATAATTACTTTGATCTCATGATTTTGGAGGTAATTAACAGTCCATCTCCTCTACGCTGCATTAGTCAATGCAGTACATCTTGCATCTCATCTTAAACAAATGCATTTTTGGATGCCATTAACATAAAATCATGCATTTTGTCATATAATTCGGTTTCATCAAGCTTGCAAATGCATCTGATCTATGACTTTGACCTGATAAACATGAAAAGAGTTGCAAGGAGAACACCGATTATGAACCTCTACTATGGCAGCTAAATGAGCACCGGATGACTGCCATGCATTTCTCCTTGGCCGCAGCTTGAAGCTTGACGCGTAGCATTTGGGCAATCAGTCACTCCGTCGATCTTCCCTGCAAGCCATGTTTAGGCAACGGACGAGAGTTCCTGTGAGCATGAGGAAGTAGCAGTAGGGTCGATGGAGAAGCCACGTACAGACTCCAGGAATCATGCAGGCATGGCATTGGCATTGGCAACAACGGTGGTCTCCAGAAGAAATCTTGCAGGCCATCCTCACAAACAGTCGTTGTCTCTCATAGAGCACAACGTTTGCAATGAGAGCTTCTAGGAAGAAGAAGAGTATCGTAATCTAAATGTTTGATTTCATCTCTAAACTTAAGCTTTTAGATCACTTCGTTGACCATAAGCTTAAGCGTCCAAGTGAGTATGATTGGGATCACGGGGTCGTGCTGTGGATGGACCAGTCGCGGCAGGAGGAGAAAGCAATGGACATGGAGTTATGAGGGAGTTGCCGCGGCCCCTTGTGCGTGTTCGTGCGCCCCCAACAACCAGCCGCTGCTTTAAGCCCGTGATGCCTCGCACAGATCATTGGATTTGTATTCTCTCGCGTCGCAGGACGCAAGCTCTTAAAGAACTCTGGACTGGAAGCAGAGAGCTCTGGCCATGGCTTGTCGCTTTCCTGGCTTGTGTGGAAATCCAGACCAAAAGCTTTCCCTCCTCCCCCTCCCTGCCTTCCAATAATTACGGGGCTTTCTGTGGCCGAGAGGTAAAAGCTATGCCATGACAAATTGGCCTTCGCTTTCACCATAAAGTGTTGGAGGTCTGTGAATGCCGCTCACATGTCGGCCAGGCAGAGTACATGTTCTTCCGCTCACATCGTGTTTGATTGGTCGCCACCGGAAAAACCTGCAGTAAGTAGTAACCTTTTTAGATACAAACAAATAGTCGAAGTAACATTACAAATACAACTCTTTACAGCCGAACAGAGAAGGTGATGATTGGCCTGTAACTATACTATCACGATTAGATTCGCTGCCTGCTAACGTGACGGAGGTTAATGCTATGCATTGAAGAGGAAGGGACGCAAATGGTTTCTCCGTCTGACAGTCTCGTAGGTTCTCATGCGAGTTAGCTCACATTGACTTCGGTACTGGTGGTGGAGTCTTGCAATTGAAGTCTCCTCGACTGTGAGAGTGGTGAATCATTGAACCCAAGCGAAGTGAAAACAGAGGAGGAGGAGGAGGAAGAAGAGAAAAAGAAAGAGATCATCGGATCACTTGATTCCAACTCGAACTCGTCGCGAACAGTTTAATCTCCCTCAATTGCTGCAGCTCATAGTCGAGATGGTCGATAGTTGTTTCCTTCTTTTTGCTATATCATTTATTTATATTATACTATTTTATTCTATGATAAAAAAAAATAATCATAAATAATTAATCATTTAATTATTAAAAAGTTTAATCTTTATTACGAGTGCTTCTTCCAAAATTGCTTTAGACAATTAAATTAAAAATAATATTTTTTATAATATTAGTTGATTCTCGAGAATTAGTCGTTAACTATTTTAGTTATTAAATTAGTTAGGGAAACATCAACCAAATTTGTTGGAGTATTAATTTAAATTAACTTTTAAATTTTGTTTCCCATTAATTTTAATTTAATTTAATTTAATTTCGTTACCATTAATTATCTAATTCAGCAAATATGGCCCGGGCCAACATGACCCGGAACTGAACCGAACCGGCGCATCAAGTGCCCGGTTCACTAACCGGTCGGATCTCGGAATCTGCTGCATACGTGCCAAACAGACAGCGAGATCCGTACGCTCCTCATTGGCCTTCCGACGCGCGACGACGGGCCGCCGGGAGGTCGCCGAGACCCGGCCCCCGGTCGGGCATGAGCAGCGCTTCGTTCGTCGTCCTTTCGGGCTTCGGGCTCGCGGCTTCCGACTTCACGATGGGAACGCACATGTCCTCGAGACCCTGGATCGCGTCGGCCTCGAGCCAGAGCATCTCTCTCCGGCGCGATCGGCTCCGTCCGCTCCGTCTCCCAGGTCTCCGTGACCCTCCACAACAGGGGCACCGACAAGAGCTGGTGCGATTAGGTTTAGGGTTAATTCTAATATTTGAAGAACTCCATGATCTCAAGAACTAGGGCTCTTCTATGTTTGCACGATCGTTTCTAGTTCTTTATCAAATGATTGATTTGATATGTCTTTTGCACAATCTGAACGTGGGTATGGTTGTGTTTTGTTTGTCGGAGTTGGACATGTTCATGTTTAGGTGTGCATTTATGACTCGAAGACTGTATTTAGAATTGACATGTTGTTGCTTTCCCTGAGGCTGTGTTGCTTCCGTGGCAGGTAGACTCGGCCATCTTGAATTCAAAGGGATGGCAGCAGTATCTGCTTCAACCCTCCAGAAAGGTACTTCTTTTAGTCAAGATCTTGGAAATTTCTGCCTGCGGACTTCAAAGGGGTCATGTGATGAAGATCCATAACCACATTCAGATTTCAAGAGTTTATGATTGCAGTCTTGAGACACAAAATTCCGGAACTTGCATTTACTCCCACTACTGTTCATGGTTGTGCTCCTCTAATTTGATGGAAAGTTCTGCAAAAAACTTGGGTAAATTGAATGCCTTTAACTACTTCGTTTTGCAGATGAACTTCATAATATTTTCTGTCGTGCTCGAGAAATATGTGGTGAGCGAGCAATGGAAATATGAGAGCATGGAAAGGACTCGGAGAAGGGGGAAGGCCCCATACGGGCTGCAGAGGGTAACTTGTACGTCTGTCTTAGAAAGTTATGGTGTTCAATAATTGATGATCTCTACTAGAGCAGTCCTAATTATTCTTAGATAGTTATGGTGTTCAATAATTGATGATATCAACTAGAGCAGTCCTAATTATTCATCCAGGATGAACCTCTAGCTGCTTTAGATACTGAGAATTGAGTATGCTACATGAAGGTACTGGCAAATGCTTGAATGAAACAGTCTGCTTTTATTATTTTTCTCAAGGAATTAATTAGATATATTGTATATATAGAAAATTGCACTTCAATTACATGTTTCTTTAATATTCACGGAAATGGTTGTGTGATTAAACTTTTTTTCAAAGAAGATGAATGCCCAAGAGTTTCTCTAATTTAAATAATTATGTTTGTAGAAGGGAAGATATGATCGTCTTCTGATCACTACAAAGTTTAGAAAATAAGGAAAGTTTGTAATTTTTGGTAAATTTCAGCTGAATATTATTTGACCAGACATTACTAGAGTTACATGTTGATTAGAGTTGATGATGTTGAAAGGCTTCAAATTTAAATTGCGTTGGTCATTAAGTGATCTGTTTTTCACAGACAGAGCTCATGGACTATGTTTGCGTATTAGCAATACATTATTTATGATTGTAGCTTTTGTCATACTGAAATTTTGAGCAGAAAATTTTTATCACTTTGATTTATCATGGATTCTGATTATATTTTTTGGGATTTTTATGTTGGCATTTGTTCATTGCTGCTGCATTTTCCAGTCTGTTTCGTTCAACTGAGGTAATATGCTATTGCAAGCTACTAGCATCATATTAAAAGATTTTGTTATGTCATCAACTGCTCTGCCAGCAGGGACATATTTTTTGTATTATTCACGGATCATATTGAGTTGTTCTCCAGATAACATAAGAAACATTTTTTTTAATGTTCTTTGTAGGTGGTGATCTATTTAAAGACCTCTATTAGAATATAAGGTTTTTTTTCCTCAAAAGAATTCCAATCATATTAAGCATGCCTTATGTGCCAGTTCACTTGACTCATTAGTGGAAATATTAAGCATAACTTTGTCAATATAGCTTCTATATTATCAGCTTCTCCCTTGAAGAACCTCTATTGGCAATTTCTTTGATTTTTAACTGGTTATGGGGTTAATGCAACATGCATACGTCTCAAGTGTGAATGCTTGATGCTTGCTGGGGACTCATGGTCAAAAACATATTCAAATCTTTGCTGAACTTTCTAGGCGAAGGCTTGTCTGATAAGAGTAAATGTATTGACCCAAAGATTATAAACTTGCCCATAAAGGTGGCTAGCATTTGATGTTGGGGCTAGAAAATACCCACTCTTTTTTTCTTTTTTCTTTTTTTCTGTTTCAGACTGAATCAAAATGAACATACTCATTTTTGATATATTTCAACTTGCTTAAAGTGCTAAAAATCATCTATGATGTATCTGAAAATTTCCAATTATTTCTTTCACTCAGATGTGCTTCATTTGTTTTTGGAACCAATGGCTTCCCGTCGGTTAAGTTGTTTTTGTATTTTGTTTTTGCATTTAGAATGTGAATGAAGCAATTTCAGGCGAATTCCTGCCAAAACAATCAGTTGTGAACTATAAAATAGATACAGCACAAGTTACAATGACATTTCTCTTGTTCTGACTCAGCCATATGTCTTTGTTGAAAATTAAACAGGACTCAGTCGTTGGTTCCTACGCATCTGATCGAAAGATAGATTGTTTGCATCAAATTGGCCAAATGATGGGAGGTGCTGACCATTCTGGTCATCAGCATTGAAATTGGTCGAAACTTGGGAAGGAAGCAAGGGACTTGATGGATGTAATCATTTGATTCTAGTCATCCCTCTACTGTTTCTAAGGTGGGTGTTTTTATATGTTGGCCAACATTTATGAAACAATTTGTCGGGTTGAGGCAGTCAACCAGCTTGTTTTGATCTCTGAATCATGATGCACAACCTGCCAAAAATATCAAGTTATTTTTTCGTACCTGGTATTTCATCTTTGCTTTGAAATTTCTGCAGGTCAAGAAAACTCGTTTGACAATGAACCAGCTTGGGTATCCTGCTTTCTGTCACCTCTCTTTGTAGCTGCATTCTGTGGTATCACTTGGCTTGGCTTGGCTTGGCTTGGTTGAAACAAAAAATGGCTGGACATAATAATGATTGATGAGGTCAGTTCTCTGACTATTCCCCATGGTATTGTGAACTATTCAAAAGCAGGTGTTGGTTGCAAGCATTTGTCTAAAACCTATTCTCTTTTTTTATTTCGTTTGTCTCTTGGTCAGGTTTCTCGTGTAAACATGAAGCACCTGTTTGAAATCAACAGTCTCAATTCCCTCGAGTACTCTTGTCGTACAGGTAAGTCTCTTTTGTCATCTCTAACATGTTCACAGCTGAAAAATGCCAAGCAAATAAATTACAGCTTGTTCGTTGAAAAAATATATATAAATATAATATAATGTTAAACATGTGGGTACTCAATAAATTGGACCTTACTTGGTTCTAACATCATTTTGGGTGATGAAATATATTGTTCATCTCATTTCTTTTAGATCTTTTTTGAGAGCTTTTGACTCTTTAACATTGGCGAGTGTATTTGTTGGTTTTCCGAATGAAGTGTGTATGGCTATATCTTGTATTCACGATAGAAACTTTTAGGAATTCCTGTTCTCATTTTTTTTTTTTCTGTATTGGCAATGGTGACACTGACCTTGAGCCTAAATTGCTTGGCTGAGAACAGGTCAAATTTATCTTAGACAATCACGGGCACTCATTGTGGAACACTGACTCGTTCCACTTTCTACTCCCACCATGATGCTATTATTCTTCATCTGCTTCTTGAGTTGCAATTTTTCTCTGCTTCGAACACTCTTATGCAATTGGACTCTCTGAATTGTGTATTGAGATGACAAGAATAGTAGAAACCAAGATTTTCTTAGCCGTATTTATCTGTCTTCTATGGGATGCACGGACTATGATAAACCGGGTAGTGTGTTTGGTATAGGACCTGTATCGTCCGGTGTAATAGAACTCGTACTGTGCCATGGGCATTAGTTAGAATGCATAGATTAGAGAAGCATGGCGGCATATTTGTGTATAGTTGAGGTAGTGCTAAAGAGAGATTTCCATTTATCTTATACTACGCTAACATTTCCTTCCTTTTTTTGTTTCTACGTTGTACAGAGCTGACCAGCTCACTACGTGGAGACTCCGTTCGTCCCTCCTTGGCGTTGGGGTCGCGCTCGGCAGCTGGTCTTCCTCAAGCAGGCCGGGCAGATGGTCAGCGTGGTCGCCATCGGCTCCGGCGATCCGAGCCTTCTCGTGCTCCGCAGCTCCTCCACCTCCCTCTTCAGTCTCCGGTTCTCCTCGCTCAGCCTCTCACGGTACTTCTTGAGGGTCTCCAGCTCCGCCTCCGTCTGCTTCAACTTGTTCCTGCACCCACTCGGGCAGAGATCCATGGGAATTCGGAACAAGAAGAAGAAGAAGAAGCAACAGAGGAGGAGTCGAGCTTACTACCTCGCTTTCCTGTTCTGGAACCAGACCTCCACTTGCCGTTGCTGTATGTTTAGCCGGCTGGCCAACTCCTGCTTCAGTTTCTGCCATGACAACAACACTCGTCAGACGCAGGAAACAAACAACGGTTTTTGCATGCAAGTAGAGTACCAACCGGAGCAAGAAAGGTGTGCTCTCTGAAGCTGTCTTCCAGCAATGCTTGCTGTTCCTGGCTGAGCCTTAGCTTCTTCCTCGTGCCACCTGCTATGATGGTCTTCCTGCTACAGTCTTCTTCTTCTTCTTCCTGCTGGTGGTGGTGGTGGAAAGGGAACAAGGCATGGAATTGAGTGGAAACCAGGCCACCAGCACAATCTCCACCTACGGAGAGGGTGAGACTGGTGTCACATTCCTCTCCCTCCATGTTGGTGGGGGAGGAGGTTCTGCCGCGGAAGAGATGAGAAGGGGAAGAGGAGATTTATTGTGGACAGTAAAAGCTGAAGGTTGGAACATGTCATTACAGCTTTAATGAGTCCAAAGTTATGTGGTCGGACGTGGGATCAAAGGTCCACACTCCCCATTTAAGTCAGCATGAAAAGTCTTCAAGGCAGTTACCCATCATCCTTTGAGAAATCGGAGGCAGGTGAATCAATGCAACATCACCACCCAAGTTTCACCCAACAGTATCAGACCCATTGTTGCAACAATGAATCATATTCTTCCCTTCGGCTCCAAAAAGTCCAAGTAATTATCTCTTTCTCGGGATTGACCGGTGAGGGCCAATTCTCAACGTCACCCACCCCACCCAAGTCGTCTATATATTATTGCCGGGTCTCGATGCGATGCATCTCCCAACACCTTTCTCACTCGTGTATCAGGCACGCATGGCTGGTCAACCTCGTAGCGGCTGCGGCACCCGCTGCAATCGTCGCCTGGTTCTCAAAGTCCGCATCAGCGTAACGAGAGATCAATTACCTCGGGGATGTTGGTGAAGCTGATGGTGGGGAAGTAACGAGCCTTCGCAGGAGGATAAAGTTGACCGGCAATTGTGGGTCATGCGTGATAAGATGGGAGATCATAATCCGGGGTTGACCATTGACGATTTGACTAAAACTTTTAGTCAACTGGCCTTTTGATTCCTAGAAAGGATAAGGATGGAGGATGAAATTGGACGTTTGACTCCCACTTGTGGACAATAATTCATCCCCAAATGTAGCCATTTTTTTTAGTAGTTTTACGTAAAAATAATATGACCTGAGGATGTATGCACGCACAGCTGTGTGTCGAAACGAACCACCACCTAAAAGCTGAACTTGAATCAGTCACTCGTGTTTATTATTGCTGAAAGGTCTTATCTATCTATCTATCTATCTATCTATCTATCTATCACGATCATTAGATCTCATGATCTGGCAATCTGACCTTAAAAAGAAGACTTTTGGCTGCTTCTGCTTTGCAAATGCTACAGAATTGGTAGGTTAAGTAGCAAAAGCATGGCTTAGAGAACTCAATCATTCCATTTGCCTCTTCTTCTATTGTTCAATCTGGCTTTTGTTTGCTTTTGTCACATCCTTTAACAGGTATTTAGCAGGTTCAAGAAACAATTGTTATGCAATCAGAAATGTAAAGAATTAGGGGCAGAGATATGCACAGTGTTAAGCTTCAACAACAATTAAAGCACATATTTTCTCTTGTAACAACAGTCTGCAAGTAATGAACAATCGATCGGACATAGGTTTGACTATTCTACCATGTAGAATTTCCCCAAAATTTAAGCATCACATATTCTATTTTTCCGGTTCATAAAGACTTCCTGATCCAATTTTGATATGTTGGAGAACACACACACTTGAACACTAAGAAAAGAATATTCAATCTGAGTGATAATGCTGCACTCAACAAGATTGGAAGTCAAATCACATCTCAACTTGTTTGACGTAGTAATTTCATACTTCCGGACAATAGTACAATAATAGATCATCAAAATATAATAAAGATTATCTGATTGAGCCGAAAATGTTGTATCTGAT